TTAACAATTACTGAGTACTATAAAATACCGAGATTAATAACACTTTCCTAAAACATAAGATTCTCTTAACTACTGAAAGTTGCTAAATCTTTTACATTCTACTAGTTAAACATACTTCTCATAAGTGATTGCCTATCGTCCTCTCTTAAAAAAATATTAGTAACGAAAGATTTAAAGATTAAAAAAGTTAAAAATATTAATCACAACTTACTTCAAGCGTATCATTATGGTTTTCGAATAGGTCACTCAACTGTTCTACAATTTCAATGCATAGTTAAACACTAGAGAATTACTTGCATATAAAGTTACTAGGCCCCCACTACCTGTATTGAAAATCATGTGCGTCTTTTATAAGAGATGCTTTTTTTGTTATCGTGACTACTTTAAAACAGAGTTATAAATTATAAAAACCCAAATTTTGTAATGTGCAGTGCGGCCTTTATTTAGGTAAGTCCTTTATAGCTCTGTGCTTTTCTTCTTGAATTTTTTTTTATTTTTTATGGCAGTCGTAACTGTAAGTAGCGTCAACTAAAATAGTATTATTCACAGCTGATGTTGCACTATTTGCCTCTTCTAATGCTTCTGCTTTAAACTCAAACTTAGTTTTCCTCTCAAGAAAGTAGAAGGATAGTATCAAAAATTAATTTAAAAAATAATGTGATTAAAATAAAAGGCCTCTTTAGATGAAACCGGAAAAAAGCACCCAAAATTGATTAAACTTATCGAGAAGGATATCTGGATTTTAATAGTTTATAGCATGGGGGCAGTGTTCAAGGGAAGTGAGCGTGTGCTTATTTAAGTTTGACTCATGCACACGCTCCGGTTTTTTCTTTATCCCCGTTGTATGGTGGGGTTTAAGCGCCCGGTGCCTATAGTAGTTAAATAAATTTATAGTGCTTTCCAGTACGTCGACTTTCTTGCACTACCTTTTTTGTCTATAATATACTTTATACCTATATTATATTACTTTGCCTCTATAATATACACAGTTCTCGAAGTGTTACAGCCTGTGAAATCAATTTTTAATTCTAGATTTACTTGACACAAAAATCATTTGGAATAAACACAGAGGATGCTATTAACAAGGCTAAGAAAGTTGCGGTATTCTTTACATCTGTTTAAACCGAAACAATAACTTATAATAAAGAACAAGAAAGGGTGTAAAAATGGTTATTGCCCCATTTTAACCTATACCCCCCCTACTTAGGCCTTACTGCCCCTCTCAGACCTTTGAAAAGTTCAGTTTTACTAAGTTGTTATTAAGAATGTTTATTAAAGCTTCTTTTTCCATTAACAAAACTCGATAATTTTATACCATTAGAGAATTATGGTGTATTAACTGAAGAAGATTACGGAAAATGTAGTTTTTTAAAAAGCCTTATGGTTATACTAAATATTTAAAAACCTATATACCTCTCCTAATATATATAGTGTAATTGTATTATATATCTCAAATTCCATGCAACTGTATACGTTGAAAGGAGCAGCACAGATTCTTTCATTTTTAATTGTGTTTTGTTATTAAGACATTAATCAGTAGAGGCAAATAAAATTTAACTCATGTTTTTATTTATTTACTTACTTTTTGTTTCAATAGTATTTTCTAAACTGGGTGTACTTACAGCTTATTATCGTTTATCCAATGTTTTAAAGTTTACTTCTGTATTATTTCAGTCGCAGCTATTTACCTTATAAACGCAACGCTAAACAACCTCAAGCCTCAATGAAAAAAACCAGCTCAAGTGTTTAGTAGATAACTAATGTAAGAACAATGTACTTCTTTACAAAATTTCTTGGTTTTTAAATATAGTAAACTTAGTGTCCCAGCTTCTTTTTATAGCCTTTGAAACTATGTAAATCAATCATAACCCTTATCTATATTTTTAGTCTTTCATATCCTATTTACCCATCTTGGGGGTGGGTGGTGTTATATCTTTGCTGCCATGAGTATGCCTCTATGCTGCCATTTTAAAGTTGCTACAAAATGTTGTTAAACTCCATTTTTACTTTTTAAAAAAGTGACTTTTTTGCCTCTATTATTATGACATTTTACTCCCCCTCATACTCAATTTTGATATAGAGGGGAGTACCAACTTTATTTTTTTTCCTTTCCGACTTTCGTGACTAAGTAATTGCGTGGAGTTAATTATGATAAAAAAAATTTCAGGCTGCATATTTCTTAGAATAAAAAATTGTAATTTACTTCAAAGAGGTTAATGCGTTCTATCTAATTATATTAAACCTATGCAATAACACTATTTAACCTGGAAAAAAAATCATGTGTATACTAATGCGTGGAAACTTTACTAGATACTCGATTTAATTTAGGATCGACTATATGAAAAATGGTTCATAATGAAAGAGGGTAAAAAACTGCGCTAATAAGTTGAATTTAAGAATAATTAATAATAAACGATAAACGTGAGAGTTAAATTAGTAAATAACAAAACTTGAAAATAAAGAAAAACAGGATACAAGAAAAATTAACTGTTAATGGGGTGAAAATGACTATGTAACCACGCTATTTCAAACCTCAAGGTTTTTGAGGTAAAACCGAAAGTGTCCCCTTCAATACTTGAAAGCCACGATAATTGCGTAAAGCTATATAATTGGATTAGAGCGCATACTCTGTGGCTATAAAATTTTAATTTTCTAACTTTTTTTTTTTTTTTAAGTTTTAAAATTAAATGAAAGACGCGTAATGTGTGAATATAAAAGCAAAACTAAGCCGTAAGTTTCACTGTGTTTATATTGAAATGTGGGGCGCAACTGCTTTTCTAGTTTTAGCTACTTTAGTGCTCAGAGAGAGTTTTCAGTCTTTGAACGAATGTAGACTAGTTGCCGATATTGCTTTTCTAATAGATAAAAGTGGCTCTATTTCTCTCCCAGTTGGCGCTCAAGCTCTAAACCATATTTCAGAATCAAATCGAAATTTAAGTCTCGCTAATGAGAGAATTAATATAATCAAAGACTATATATCAAAGATGACTGATATATTACCTCTGCATAAGAATAAAACAAGAGTCATTGCTGTGACCTTCAACGCGAAATCTATTAATGACCGGGGGGGTAACACAATTATTTTAAATAATTTTACTATGAGGTCTTCTTATGACCGGGAGAAATTCAAAAAAGTTCTAAATTCAATAACTTATTACGAGACGGACAAGAATACAGGAACATTCTTTGGTCCGGCTTTCAGAAAGGTAATGAAACCCTTTCAAGCTACACTGCCTAGCCGTAAAAATGTGACTAAAATAATTATAGTTTTTACTGATGGAGTTCCTACCCCCGACGACGACGTCTCTGAAACAATTCCTCAATTACGAGCTATGACTCCCCCTTACAATATTATTACCTTTGCGGTTGGTGATTACCAGGAAGAGAAATTAATACAACTGACTGGGGATAAAAACTTAATCTTCAAAGCTTTAAGATACGAAGAAATACCCCAGTACCTGGAAAGGTTTACAGATAAAATTTGTACTGTGAAATGTGAGCTTACTGAGTGGACGTCATGGGGGGATTGTTTGCCAGTAGTAGATAACGCTAGTAATGGTCGACAGTTATGGAGACGAAGAATTATTAAGGCACCTCAACAAGGCGCTGAAAGCTGTTACCCATTAGAGAAAGAAACTACCTGTCCACTACCCGCAAGTAAGGGAGTTACTAGAGAGGATAATGAGGCTCCTTTAGCCGAAAAAAAGGTAAAAAACAATCTCCCTTTGCAGATAGGCCTGGGCGTTTTAGGTTTAGCAGCACTTCTTGGTGCCGCTGGGGGACTTGCATACTATGTAAGAAAGAAGAGGATAGCCGGCAAAGGAACTTTGTTAAACGAAAATCTAGAGCCAGGAATTAACGAAAACCCAATGTTTAAAACTCCTTTCAGGTCTAAAGCTAACCTCATATCAGAGGCATCATAAATGTTCATCAACTAAATTTAATAAATAAAACAATTTATTTGTCCATTTTTTTTAAGTATTGCACTAAATCTATATTTAATTTCAATATGCTAAAAAAAAAAAACATTATATTTTTATAAGGTCACCTACACCATTTTCAATATATGTATGTTTCTCTTTAAGCCTTGGGAATTATTTTCTTTATTGTACTATCTTATTAAAGTGGAGTCGTAATTCTACCCTGACTTGATTTACAAGTATTTACATGGTCTTTATAAAAATCTTTAATATAAAGACAGACTGAACAATTAATTACTTAAAGCTTCGCGGTGAGTACCATCTTCGCCTTTCGAAGCAATTTGTCATAACATGTCTAGGAAGATACTGAAAGCCTTTGGTCAAACATTGGTGCATACATACTAAGTTATGTAGTACACTACATCACATTCGAGTGAGTAAGGTCCGCTGAAAACAATGTAAGCAAGGACTACATAAAGAGTGAAGAAAGTTAGCTTTTTTGTTCCAATTCCGGAGCTATTAAAATATTTATTAAATTAGCATAAGTTTGGTTAAATAACGAGCTTGACTGCTAAACACAGGATTTGACAGTGTAGTAACTTGCACATTCGGATTTTGTGCCGTTCAGGCTGAGTGTGTTACTGAAAAGAGTGTTAGTTACTAGTACTATATATAAGCCTGCCAATCTCCTTGTAAACTGTGAGGTTTTGTAGTACCTAATAATAGATTTACTAAGAGGTTTACTTTAGCCTTTCATTTTTTTGCAAGCAGTTATAAAAAAAATTTGAACACTATTTTAATAGGCTACGTCCACATATGAGTTTTCAGGGTTATATTTGATAGAAAGAATATGTATTTTATTTTATTTTTAGTATTAATTTTTCTTTTTTTATAAATGTAGTACTACTTAAACCAAAGATACGTTACTTGTACTTTAAAAAGTTTGGCTGGAAATAGTAGATTAATCTATTTACCAATATTGTTAAGTTTATTTTTTTATTATCATTAATTTTTAGCTCACTAAATATAAAAAAACACTACTACTGAAAAGCGGGCGGAAAAAAAATCAGGAAAACATCGTTAAAATAATATACTCTCTTTATTTTATTAAATATACTATCAAAACCCACAACTTTACAAAAGTAAACATGTTTCATCACTACTTAATACTATCGGCTCTGATAGGAACTCCTTGGTGTCTTTTCCGCATAGGCGTCGCCCTCAACCGAATACTCCAGTGAACCTCCAGAAGTCTCGCGCCCGCCAACCAATTGCGGAACATCATTAACGTACTTTTCGGTGATTCGCCCATTTTCTTCTACGGTGACCGTCTTCACACCATTCCTAACTTCCGTCCGGACAGTTCGCTGTTGGCCATTCACAATCTGCGTCTGCACTGAAGACATGTGACTGCCGCCGCCCATGTGAGAGGTCATGTGATGGGCGAACCCCCCTCCGAACCCCCCGAACCCGCCACCGCTTATGCCAAACGACGACTCCTCAAATGAAGCAAAGGGATCCCAGTGGCGCCCGCGGGCGGAAGAAGGGAAGAAGTCCTGCATGAACGGCGAGGTGGGGCCAAAAAACTGACGAAAAATTTCGTAGGGATCGTGGAACTGGAAGCGGCCTCCACTAGGATCTCCAAATCCATCTATTAAAAAAAATAAAGTTCATTAAAAACAAATTTTTATTTTGATAAAAAAAATACTGTAAACAGTTTTTATAGTTAAATTAAAATTATATTTTAACAATTTTTTTTGTAAAAAATTTTTTAAAAATTATTAAAATTTTTTCCGAGTTACTATTGAAGTGGATAATTCAAATTAATAACCTGAAAAAAGTAAAGAAGTATTATATTATAAAAACTAAATTAAAATTAAAAACAAGTAAATGTTCAAGTAATGTTTGAAATATTGACTTTTATAATAAAAAATAATAAACTAATAAAAATTTTAAAAAAAATACATTAATAATTAAAATAAATCTCAAAGTTTAAAAAAATTGTATAAAGATAAGAATACTTGAGTTTTAATAAGTTTTATAAGTAAAAAAATTATTACCAGAGCCGTAATTCAAACCATCTTTACCGTACTTATCAAAAATTTTCCGCTTTTCCGCTTAATTTTAAAAGTAAAGTTGAATTGTTATAATATATATTTTTTAATAGGTATTTAAATTGCTTACGATCGCTCAAAACCTCATAAGCTTCGCTTATTTGCTTAAATTTTTCTTCTGCTTTATTCCTGTTGTGGGGATTTTTATCAGGGTGCCACTTTAAAGCTAACTTATGATATCTTTACAAAGTAGAAAAAATAAATTTTATTGTAATAAATAAAAAAAATTTATACGCTTTTTTAATTTCTTGAGTGCTGGCGTCTCTGGAAATCTCAAGAACTTCGTAAAAATCAAGATTCATCTTGCACGCGAGAGCCTTATTTCTAAATAATTTTAAAATGAATTATTGAAACAACTCAGAAAATTAGTAAATTGTTAGATAATATTATTAATTATATATAGTTTAGAAAGAAGGCAACTTATATGAAACCAAAAGGAAGCTGCGCAGGAATATCTATGAACAAAATAGCTGGAAATTGCGTGTACTTAATACAATTGTAAAGCGGAAGGGGCTTCCTTATTTAGTAAATCATGATATTTTCGGGAACAAAGTTGCGTTTATGCGCTATTTAAAATTTTTAAACATATTTATACTTAGCTAAGTCCTCTATGAAAAATAATTTTTAATGAAAAACAAACGTTACGTATAATAGACAAAAATAGGATAAAAATATTTAAATTTTGTGTTTAAAAATAAATTTTATATAATAATACATTAGAGGACTACTCTTAGAAATACAGGTCTTTCAAAATACAAATATAGGAGATTTTATAAAAATACTTGAAAAAAATAACTCGTAATATATTGACCTAAGATAAATATATAAAGATTGCCTCAATTATAACAAGAGCAGTGTAGGTAACGTTAGTCTTTACAAATTATATATAGCTTACTTATGTATTTGTTGACAACTACTGCTGTTAAATACAATCGTAATAAGTATTAAAAAACTCTTAATGCATTTCCTATTTTTGCTGTGATTTTCATATTATATAGCTGGTGTTTTTTAATGTATTAGTTCCTGCTTTTTTATTCTTTGGAAGCAATATGTATTACAAATATTACGTACTTATAGTATAGCGTCCTTCTAAGACCACTAACTTCGTAAGCAGAAACAGAATAAACCAGAAAAAAGGTTCTATTCGAGGTTTTTACGATTTATGAAAAAAAGAGAGTTTAAGACAAATTTTGATAGCGAAGAAAATTTCTTTACTTCTTTAGGAGTTTAGTATTGGGCGGTAATAAAAAAAAGATATACTATTTTTGCTGTTATAACTAAAAAACGAAAAAGAAGCAACTAATACTTTTTAATAACTTTTTAAGTCGGAAACATGGCAGGTACGGATGAGGATATATGTATATATGTAAGCCCTGTTGATTCTTTTTAATATTACTAATAGGTTATGATTATTTCTCAACATCTAACAAAAATAGATTGCATTAAAAGATGAATAACTATTATATATCACTAAACTCAACTGTTAATATTATAAAATAATGTTTTTACGACTACTACAAAAATTACTGCTTTTAAACGGGATTTTAATAGCATTTTTATACTTTTAAGCCACTCTTACTCTAAGGTTTCATGATTACTATTTAACATTAATTGTCAAATGTAAGTTGGGGTCCTCGTGACTTATATTTATTAAATTTAAATATGTTTAGGAAGTTGAACTCTTCTTTTCTGCTTTAGAACTCTCCTTTTAAACTATCTTTGGTTAAACTTCTTTTAAATTCACGAACAGGTAAGTTGATAAACTATAATTTTTTAAACCAGCAGCAAAGATAAGAAACAGTTACAAGTTTTATTGAACTCACGGTTTAATAGAGAAAGGCTTTCCAAAAACTCCATTTTTTTAATTTTTTTTTAATTATTACCCGTATGTACGGTTCGCGTTCTTTTTTTTCTTTCATTTATTAAATTGCTTGCCACTACACTTAAGGATAAAACCGTCCAATGAGTGTGTTTTTACAAGTAATTTTGCATGAGCAATTACTTGCACGAGGACATTATAACTTTGTATTTAAACCTATTTTAACTGGCTCTCAGCATTATCAACCTAATTCTAAACTTTGCATACTTAGCACACCGGACCTTAATCCTAAAATTATAAAAATGGTTTTTTGGGTCTCTTATTGACCACATCTAAGGTAGGGACACAATATGTAAATAAAAATAACTAATTTATAAATTTAACCAGTCTCGAACAACTACTAAATGTTTGCTACGTTTGTGCAAACGTTAGAACCTTGCGCACCAAATTTTTTAACTTACGTTAGGGTCAAGCCTTAGTTAAAATGCTCTCACCCGGTAGAGAGCTCTTCGATTTTGTCACAATAACTATAGTAAAGCCCGTTACGCCCTTTATACCTTTCCATTTTTGATCTTAGTTGTCATAGTTTATTCTTGTCCTCTAAAGTTACTTGATTAATGTGCTCATTCTATGTACTAGTCTATTTATGTTTTACATTTTGTAATTTTAAAGAACGTCGTTATCGGCATAGGGCTCTTGAGGCTAAAAGATCGTAACGGTTAGTATGCAGGGGCAAGCAAACCACAACGGTTTCATGTAAAGATACGCACAGGTGACAAAAGAAAAGCAATCGATCTTTTATAATAATCAACTAGAGTTGTTAGGTATTTTGTTTAAATACGAATGTCATAATTAATAGCTTTCATTATTTATTTCTGTAACATATTACATATGTAACCCTACTTAGGACCTATATTACTTTTTCATTAGTTTTATTTTGAACAAATCTATAAGCTTTTTGCTATCTCTGAGGAAAAACTTCTTTTTATATATATAAATTATGTTTATTTTTAAATACACTTTGATAGGCAAAATATTACAAATTTATTTTTACGGTTAGAGTCTACTTCAGTATGACACTTATCAAAAAAGTTATATTGTTCATTAAATATACAACTCTGCGGGTTAGCCGTCCGACTTTATGCAAACGTAGTCAGAGTTTTTGGGATAAATGCACAGTTACATATCCTTGTAATGATAAACCAATTATGAGAGTAGTTATATGTTGAGTTTCAGTAAAACGCCGATGAAACCGTGGAATGTTTAATTTTAATTATCAGCAACTTAAGCTCGGTGAAGATTTTAAGATCAAACTATAAAAAAAAAAGGTTGTATTGAAACAATTTGAGAAAATTTTATTCCAAGGATTTACCTTGCTTGTGTAAGGTAAAATCCATGAAACCAATAATTCTCATGTTTTTATACTTTTATAACTTATTTTACGCTCAGTTATAAGTTGTTTCAAACTACGGACATAGATTCTTTATAAAAATCGTTGACTATTGCTTATAGAAAAATATTAAATATTAAAAAAATATTAACCTTGTAGTTTTTACCAAATTAATCAGAAGTTTTTATAAATAAGGGTCTTATTTTAACGAATAACTACATCTTAGCTACAGTTATTTACCCTATATAACTTTTATAGTTAACCATTTAAATTAATACTAATTTTTATCCATATTATGTTAGCTCCATTTGAGATATAAAACTAGCTAACCCATATGTTAATGGAAAAATAAAAAACAATCCTTGCTTTAAGTAAAAAACTCGCAACGGGTAATTTTTGGTATATATAAATTTCATAAGGTGTAGATAGTAACCACAATATACGCGCAAGCTAAAACGTTAAAACCTGGATTAACTCTTAAGTTCAGTATTATTTATGATATCTTCTTGCTTAATTCAAACCTAATAAACTCTTAATGCTTTAGGCGGTTGAAAAAGTAGAAATATAATTTATTTAATTATATAAAAAGTAATTATTGGCTAACACAATATCTATATTATTTTCAACTAATTGTATGTAATGCATTATAGTTCATTTAAAAATAAAGATTTTACACCTTCCGTAATTTTTTTTTTCAAACATCGTACTTCACCAAATAATCTAGAAAGGCTTCATAACAACTTGGGTGAGGTCTGCTTCTTGAATTAAATAGCATTTTTAAAGATTTTCCTAAGTAAAAAAATACAGGCTTCTATATTTTCTCCATATTCTTCTAAAAAGTTTAATTTCCTTCTCATTTAAAACCGTTACTAAAACGGTAAAATACTGTTTATCTAACTCCTCAATTCGTTGTTCACTTTTTTTTATAATATCTGTGTAAGTTGCCATTTTCTTAAATTACCTCGCTAAACTTATTTCAGAACAATTTTTTTTAAGGTCCATACTATTTTATAAAAGGTAAGGTTAACACTAACGAAATAGTAAAGCGCAAATAAAACTAAGCAAGGTAGGCTGGGTTCTACTTTCTAACTTAGGAAGCAAGTGTTTCCGGTTTATACTGCTACTGGATCTCTAATCTCTCAGTCGAGTGCGAAAGTGCTAAAGGAAATTATTTAAAAAAATTTATTTAACTAAATAGCGGTGTTTTAAACGATCTTTAATTTAGCGGATACTCGAGCTTACAGTCAGGAGTAATCGCGAATTTTTTTCAGTAATTCGCATATTGCACATATAGATTCTCTAAGGGGAGAGCGCAGTATATGGGATGAAGTGCTTTAGGCTGGTGCGCTCCTCCGAGTCTTTCCTCATGTCCGAGCTAGAATTATACTTGGGAACAGCGAAGTAAAAATTAAACTAAAACCTGATGTAGGCGTAAGGTTGTAGAGAAGAACCAAAACAGAGTATTACACAAATGTCGAGTCCTTTTACAGTGGCCCATCTAGCCAACCATCTTAATTGTTCATTTTAATATTCCTGATAAAAGTTTGCAAAATATTTGTTAGACTATTTAAACTTTAAATTGCTAGTATTTAAAACTTGAAGCCTTTTGAAATAAATTGTACGCAGATGTATATATATTTGCTGCGGTCACAGTCAACTAAGGGTTGCCGAGCTTGTCCCCCACTAAGGTGAGATAACAGATAAATAAAGGTAGCATACAGGACATGCTCAAAAACAAACGGATTACTCCCTAGTGAAAGGTTACTAGTTTCTTCTTCTCTTTTTAAAGGTTTTTTTTAATAAATTGTTTCACCTTGGTTTATAAACCCTAGACTAGAAGGAAATACCAGGATATTACAAATTTTACAACTATTAATCCCCCATGCTAGGAAATAAAATTCTGCTTTAACAGCACAATGCAACCAGCTAACAGTCTAGCAATGTTAGCTAATTAAAATGCTCTACTAAAGTAGAACGAAAAAGATGAGACGAAGTTATGTTTCAACTCATTTTACGGTCCTATTCAACACGAAGTAGTTAAATAGTACCGGGCCCGAGTAGGTATAAACCTCGAGCGAGAGAAAGTCCTTAGGTAAGTGTTATATTCCTTGTATTTTAAGGTGAGCATTATTATATATAAAGTACAGATGTACGGTCGTTACCACTATGAAAACGCAGAAAAAAGACTAATGCGACTGCGTGTTTATCGTTTTGATATACTACAGTC